TACAGTGACCCAGCCAGCAATGCTGCACTGGATCGCCCCCACATAGCGTGCACATTTGGATGTTGGAAGTTGTTGAAAAGATGTTGGAAGTGGATGTTGGATTCTTTTTTTGAAAATGTTGAAAGTGGTTGTTGGAAGTTGTTGGACGCATTGGGTGAGGTCATTGTTGGACGCATTGCTGAAGGTTAGTGATGACTATTATTCCTAGGCGACCTCACCCCCCTGGCACAGGGACTCCAAGCAAATTCCAGTATTCCTGATGAGCATTCAAGAAATGTATTCCTGAATAGTTATTCCTGGCTGTAACCTGGAACACTGAATAATAAGTTAAGGGAGCCCCGATGAAAAACATATTGCTCGAAGAACTTGACTAGCCTGGCAAAAAAGCAGCACATTCGCTGACGCACCGCCTCTCCCCGATTTAACACGTCTTGCATGTAGGGGCTGCTGGCATCGCTACTACTAGGTGACAAACTTGACAAACTGCCTGAGCGAGTGGTCAGCGTTCCATACGTGCCAAACAGGCTGGCACACACTGGACAATTGGAGCAATCAAACATTAAAGAGTACCGGTGACAAATGATTTGCAACTGAAGGGTTTCCAGCTACAGCAACCCTAGTGGTTGCTTTTCATCAGGTGTTTGACAGCTCCAACTGTAAAAAGTAAGAAAAATGATTTCATCCCGGACAACGTGCAGCCTGGCCCAGTGGTTGCCAGGGCCAGGGAAAATCACCGCCCGGTGAGAACCCGCAGGATAGATTAAAAAACTTTGCGGGCATTACATAGTCACCAAAAAGGAACTCTGCAGATGGAGTTCCCAGGCGCAATTGCGCAGTTCGGATGCTGCAGCAGTCTGCAAATGTGGTCTTTGATAAGCTTTGAGGACATAACTGTGCCGAGTTCGTACATACTTGAGTCATGACCACATTCATCTGCTTCTGAGCTTCAGAAGGACCGCGAGACTACGACTAGATCATCTCAACTCTGGGCTTCCTTGGCTGAAGGAACTGCGTACCCGGCTGTACCAAAGTAATTCCTACTTGCGAATGGCCCTGATAGGTAGCCTTTCTGAATTCTAAACGGCGATTGGCAACTTCTTGTGCAGTGCACAAGTATTGAAGGGATTTCTGGTGACTTTTGCCCATTTTGCCCAAGTCTCTTCTTCTCTTTGGAACCTCTCTCAGCCTGAGCTTTGGCCTTGATGGTGTCATTCTCTGGAATCCCGTTGAGGCTGCTGGCAGCACAATAGCTTGCGACCTCCTGAGGTCAACGGGACCGACAGTATCACCGACGGTTTTGTTCTGTGCTTGAACATTCTTATTCTAACTGCATCACATGCATGTCATCATCACACACCTTTCCAAAAATTTAGGTCCAAATGATAGGGTACTGTAAGTTCTCAGCTATCTAAACTTGGACAAGGGGACCAACATGCGGAAGCACACTTCTTGATTGCTTTCATCCCTCAGGTGCAAACTAGACGACGAGTGGCCCGAACGCATTTTTCATCACGTAGGAAGTCAGAGTGCGAGTTATCTGTTAAGTGTGCAGTGTGAAGTGTGAAGTCGAGTGAGTTGAGGTAGTGTGTGGGTTTCTGTGCGTGTATCTATGTCCGTGTGGAAATGAGTCTGCGTATGTGTGTGTTCGTGTAAGTTGAGGCAGTGTGTGGGTGTCTGTGTGTGATGCGGCCTCCCAAACCCCCCACCGGCGGCCAAGCGGTAACAGCCCAGCTCATCGTCGTGAGCATTTGGGCTGCTGGTAAGGGGAGAAGCAGCGTGCACGGCGCCAGGAAAAGCTAACGGAAAAAAAAAGAACCGGAATGAGGACAGAAAAGTGCCGAGGCCGGTACGCCAGAAGTGTCTCGAAGCAGTGACCTGTCAGAGGAGATGAACGAAGTAGCGCGCAGGCCTCCCAAACCCCCACCGCGGCCGTGACAGCCCAGCTCATCGTCATGAGCATGTGAGCTGCTGGTAAGGGGAGAAGCAGCGTGCACGGGTGTAGGGAATCTCACTGAAAAAGCCCAGCTGGAATGAACACTACCAAGTCACCAGTTCTCGGCTTCCGAGAGCCCAGCTACTCCGCGTACTGAAATTGTGCCACGAAGACACCAGTTCTCAGCTTCCAGCTCCACAGCTTGCTCCGCTGCTAGACCGATCGCACTCTGGCCTGCAGTTCGCGCACTCGACACGCACGATCTCCGCAAAGGGT